GATGGGGTTTCACCATGTTGGCCAGGATGGTCTCAAACTCCTGACCTCAGGTGTTCCACCCACCTCACCCACCCAAAGTGTTGGGATTACAGGCGTGAGCCAGTGCACCTGGCCCTCCTCTTTGTTCTGAAATACCACTTCCTCGTACTACTAGGTGTTAACTATACAGTGGTCCCCCTTATTCTCAGGGGATACATTCCAAGACCCCCAGTGGATGCCTGCAACTGCAGATGGTACCAAACCCTATACTATTTTTTCCTGAACATACATACCTATGATAAAGTTTAACTTATACATTAGGCTCAGCATCCTTGTGTTTTGGGACCATTATTCAATAAAATAAGGGTTACTGGAATATAAGCACTGTGACACCATGACAGTGAACCTGATCTGCTGCCTTGGCGACTCTGGATCTCTGTTCCAATAGTGAAATGTCACACTGCAAACTCTTGGCCTGGGGTATAGGACTTAAGTGGCTCCAGGACTGATTTCACTGCCATCACTTATACATGGTTAGATCTGGGTTCAACTTGTTTGCTGTGAGCTAAGTGTCTGAATGTCTCCATGTTTATAAAACTTTAAAACTACAGAAAAATTGCTAAAGACAAGAAATTTGGAAATATATTTACAATGCAATTTGGAAAGTAAACAGAAAGGAGGTATACTAACTGGGCTAGAAGATTATAGCTGTAAATTGTTGGGACTTAAGTAAAACCACACATTTAGACAAACAGTTTCTCAATCTTTATCCAGAAGCTCCTACTATTCAACATATCTCCCACACATCCGCATCCAAAGAGCAGTCAGTTTAGATAAAAGTTTGAGAAACAGAATCAGGGCCAAAGGATAAGCCTCTCCTCTACTTCAGAGCACTCATTGTCTGCCTCACACCCTCTTCTCCCTGAGGACTGGCTGTGTGTTGACTGACCCCATGTTGGGATACATGAACAGTAACAACAGTGGACTCCTGGTCCCTGTGCTGATGGGAGGCAACAAGGATAAGCTGCCCTCACACTTGCTATGCTAAAAGAACAGGAAATATTATTTTACCTGTGGCATAGACAAAATGTCTAACATAGAAGTATGTTTTATAGTGGGAATTTGCTATACAAATCTATTAACTATATCCTTTCTCATTAAAAACTGGCTTAGCTGAATTATATTCAGTCAAAAGTCGGGTTCTAGTGCTAAAATCAAAATCCACTTAGGGCTTTTAACAACAAAACCAAAACCCAAAACTGCAGCTAAAACACATTAGTTCATAAAGCAAGGGGAATCTTGCAGTCTCTGGGAATAAGCAAAATCCCTCTTTTGCAAGTGAATAAGTAAAATCCCTCTTTTACTCATAATCCAAAATAAGTGAAGAAATTAAAGCTGCATGAATGGTTCCTGAAAAAGTTCCTCCGTTTGAAAAAAAAAATTTCACTAGGTTCAAGTATTAAAGAAACTACTATACAAGTTGAATCCTTGACCCATTATTTAGGGCAGCTTCTTTTTACTATAATGCCCTGCCAACACAAAACCACTGTGAAGATCTAGGAGCACAGAGAATGGCAGTCAATGCTACAGGGCTCATGGGTTATGGGAGAGAACTACAGACGCCACACCCTTGCCTAAGTCTCCCCATCTCATAAGCTGGTCAGTGTCCCTGCTGCTGACACTGGGCCCCAGCATTATCCATTCCTTCCCCAACCTCTCCATTTCTTCACCTACTTGTTCAGTCAGACATTCAACCACTATAAAATGCCTCTTCCCTACATACATATGCAACACATGCCAACTCTCAAGGAATGCAACTTAGTGGAGGACAAAAAGCAAGTAAATATGCAGTAACAATGCAAACATGTGCCACTACAGAGATAGGTACCAAGTGATAAGGAACCCTGCAGGGATGAACAACCAGCCCAGCTTCAGAGGGGCAGAGAAAACGTCCCTGCAAAGGAAGCTATAAGAATAAAGAGCAGTAGGCCACTCCATGAGGTGGGAGATGGTGGTGAGGAATGCCTCAGTGGGTGGAACAGCATGTGAGAGGCAGAAAGAGCAAATGTAGCCAGTCCAGAGGACTGGAATGGATGGAGATGGGGAAAAAGTGAGAGCTCACTCCACCTAAAGCCAGGCCTATGGGGAGCCCTCAGGTGCTCCTGGATGCCTCCTCTAAGAGCCTGGCAATTCAGAAAAAAGAATGCCCCTGTGTACCATAAAGGACTCAAGTCTTAATGAGAGGACTCTTCTAGACACATGCCATCATTGTATCTGTTGATTTTAGCAGCAATGGGGAAACTATGCAATACTTAATTTTAGGAAAGTCACAAGCTATGTGAATAGGGCAATGGACAGATAAGGTCTACAGGCAGGAGATTTCTACCTGGCTGAAATATCAAACTCCTATGTGGTATATGAAATATACCACCACATATAAAAAATTAATGAATGTAATTCAGCCATAAGAAGTCCTATCTATTGGACAGATCAATATAATCACCTCCTAAGAAGTTATTACAGTGGGAGAAACTGGGCCTGGCTTCACCCTGAGTTCTCAAGCAAGTAACTGACCTTAAGTTTCTTTATTCACACAAGAAATAGTTGCTATGGTTGTCTCCAGCACTTCTAAAACCCATCATTCTGGCAGGATGTAACAATCAAAAGTATTTTATCACCAAAGGCAAGGATTTAAGTAACTTTTCTAAGCCACAGACTTATAATGGTTTTATCTGGGGGAAAAAAAAATGGATGGGCCCCAAACTGTCTAAAATTCAAAAAACAAACACATTTAAGTTCCTGCACCTTTTAAAAGTTGACAAACCATGCATAACCAAATACAAAGATAATTAAAATTTTAGGATAAGCAAATGAGAGGATAATTTTTTTTTTAAGAAATGAGAAAGTAAAAAAATTAACCCAACGAGGCAGGCAGTGATTCGTTGCTCACTTCCCCTTCTGCTGGTTTCATTTCCCTTCTTAGGTGAAAACACTCCTAATATGTAAATCAGTCCACTACAGACTTCAGAGTCCTTTCTGCTAAGATTTACAGAAATTTGTATGCAAAAGAAATTATTTCTAGACTTCCATGTACTGGAAAAGGACACTTACAAAATACACCAAACTGAAGTGGATTAATGTATGTGGCAAAGCAGAAGCAAGTAACAAAAGATCCTACTTTTAAACATTTAGAAATGTTTAAATACTAAAAAGTAGAAATGTCAATATTCTATAATTTTTAAGAACTCAGTAGTAAAAAGTGAGACTCAAATCATTTTGGAGAACCTACTAAGTGCCAGGTACTATGTTAACTTGGGATCTTTCTGGTTTACGCCCCTTAGAATCCTACTGGATAGCATTATCTCTATTTCAACTGTACAGAAGTGAAGTAGGAACAATAGCTTAGTCAAAGCGGGTCAGTAACTAGACAAAATCACGCAGCTTAGAAAGCAAAGAAGCTAGACTTTAAACCCCTTTTACGCAATATCAAATCTCCTTTTCCTTCCATAGATGATGCAGACTTTAAGCATCAAAGTACACAAACTGAACAAACTTTATCCTTTGTATATAATTCTCTGAAGTATATGCCATCATTTCAAGGGGAGCTTATGCATAAACAAATCATTTGTGAAAGAGAAAAACCACATCCAGGGTAAAGTCATAAGGTGAAAAAGCCTATTTCAGAAAGCACTTCCTGAAAGAGACAAAGCAGCAATTACAGTCAGCTCAGCACCAACTCCTATGCCAAGCGTTACACTGGAAGCTACTTTTTAAAGCAACAAACGTCTAAAACAAAATACAACATTTCTTAAATACACTGTTTCCAGAAAGAGCTATTTTAACAGAGGCAACTCAAAGATATCTCTTCAACAGAAGCGGGTATGCTGAAAAATGTTCATCTCTTATACAGCCTATTGATGGAAAGGAGGTAAGCAGCATTTAATTAACTTCATGATTATTGCCAAAAGTAATGCTTTATGTGCCAAATTTCAAAAATCATTTCATTTTAATAATACAGGCCGGGCACGATGCCCTACGCCTGTAACTCCAGCACTTTGGGAGGCCAAGGCAGGAGGATCACTTGTGCCTAGGAGCAACAGTGAGACACCGTCTCTATAAAAAAAAACAAATATAACTGAACCTTGTTGGTGAAGGACCTTGAAAAAGGCTATATAATCATCTTTCAAAATTAATACGATTTTACATTTATTTTCAATATTGCTTTACATTAACAGTAAATATAATTTTTTTCAGCTTAAGGAAAACATTTATGGCAAATCATATGTACATTTAGGAATGTTCATCACATGGTTTCAATTACATTGTTTCATGAAACATATTTAATGATTTTTAAGAAAAGCTACAGATAATTGTGGTATCTACAGCTTTTAAAAAGCTGACTTGAAAGTCAGTCACTTTTTAATATTTATCCAAAAATCTGTCTGTGTTTGCAGAACACAACCAATACTATATTGCCTTTAAAACACATGCATCACTCACATTTTTTCAAACTTGAGCAAATGAATAGAAGTATTGGTGACAAATAAGCTACATAGAAACAGCTTGAGCCTAACGTGGGAAAAAAGATTTACTCAAAATGGTAAGTACAGGACTTATGCTACAAAATTAAAGGATGAGGATAGGTGAAGGGAGTCCTGATATAACACTAAAAAAGGAAAACAAATACAAAATTTCATTTATATTACAATTGCTACTACTTAAGAATTCATTCCAGTTAAAAATAAGATTTACGCCTCCAAAATTACTCTCCTTTGAATGACATTGGATATATAATTTTTCTCTGCAGTTCTTTCCTCATTTGATAGAAATTAATATTCTAGTCACACAAATATTTGGAAAATTTAATGTAAGTTTTAAAATATATATAATTCTACACCAAAGTCATATTTAACCTAAATATTTGAGAAGGAAAGATGGAAAGGAAGGGAAGGAAGGAAATAAGGCAGGCAGGCAGGGAGGCACTTATCTTGTGATTATCCACAGCAACTGCTCAAGTTAATTCTTCATTATCAATAGCCTGTGATGCCACTGACCACAGCAAATCTCCCTCACAGTTTTCATTAAAGAGAAATTCTGGGCTGATTTCAAGACAGCCCACTCTGCAAAGTGACATTTTTGAAGGAAATTTTTCATCCACCTCCACATTTCAAGGGATGCCACAGGTTCCATCTCATTGCAGCAAAGTCTATTTTTAAAATCTGTTGTTGGTGTTGCATCATGGGGGAATGAAGTTTCACACTGAGGGGTTCAATGATATTTACAACTCCAAATAAACTCCTTTCCATTTAAAATGGACAGATTTTTTTTTTGGGGGGGAGGGTTATGGAAATTTATTAGTTTCTACATACACATCAAGTTACTGAATGACTTATTAATATCTACTTGCCTTAGATACTCCATTTTTGGATTTACTTAGAAAATTTTTAAAATTTAAATAATATTTAAGCTTCTGAATGTAGGCAGAATGAGGATATGAAAGTTACTAATGGCACAAGCTTATTTTCAAGGTGCTGCTTTCTGTGCACCACTGAAGTAGAGCCACTGAAAGCAGTTTCTTGTTTTGATGAACAAAACCTGTAGACTTGGCATTATGTACTCCCAACTGTGCATTAGAAAATAGCTCATCTATTGTTCTAACAGTCCAGTTCTTGATCTGTTGATCATGGCACAAAACACTACTGTTTCTAGACCTATAATTTAAAGAGAATGTAAGGTTATAAATATTATAAAGTGTTTCCACTTAAAAAAAAAAAAAAGTTTAATGGCCAGCTAAACAAGTCTTCATCTAGAAAACTACAATTGAGAGTTTTTTAGTGGAGCTGCTATAAGTCATCTCACCAAAAGTTCCTTTATTTATTCATTGATTCAGTAAATATTTTATTGAGTACCTATTACATGTTCAATAGACAGTGGGGCTACAGCTGTAACAAAGGAAAAGTTCCTATTTCTCTCTCAAATGAGAATTACTGTGAATGTTCAGTAGTTAACCACTCGAATGGTTCCTTGATTCATTTTCCACATTTCTATTCACATATTTTGCATATTAAAATTATATTTAATGAACAAAAATACATTATTTAGACATTGCTCATCTGGTTGCAAAATATTTAAACAGAATGAAGATGACAAAAAGTGGCAAACAACTGCATAAGATTCAAAATTCAGAATGGCCTTTTCCCTGTTAGTCCAAATGAAAGGACACTTACAGAAACAATTGTTACCTAATTTCACACTATAGGAAAAAACTGTAAAGAAATGGTTATTCTTGTAGGAAGAAGGCAAGTGAGCAAGGTGAGAAAGAGAGAGAGAGATGAATGAAATTGTCAATGAATTATGACACCAGGACCGTTTTAATAGATTGATACAAATTAGTAATATCTCTAGGGAATGGATTCATTAACAAAGACTAAGACACATAAAGTGAGTCTATAACATAAAATGTTCTCAAAATTAAAATTCAGTGACAGCCAAGCTGAGTGGGAGAATGTTAAGCATTTATTTTTCAACCAAAATTTTATTCCTATTTTTCTTAACTATTTTTACAGTTTCTAAGTGTCATGCCTACCAACAAGCTGTAAAATGATCACCCTGAACGATCAAGATCAACCTGTCCCTTTTAACAACTCACATCCAGGTGAATACAAAATTGCGGCCCTTGTCTTCTACAGCTGTATCTTCATAATTGGATTATTTGTTAATGTCACTGCATTATGGGTTTTCAGTTGTACCACCAAGAAGAGAACCACTGTAACCATCTATATGATGAACGTGGCATTACTGGACTTGATATTTATCATGACTTTACCCTTTCGAATGTTTTATTACGCAAAAGATGAATGGCCATTTGGAGAGTACTTCTGTCAGATTCTTGGAGCTCTCACAGTGTTTTACCCAAGTATTGCTCTATGGCTTCTTGCCTTTATTAGTGCCGACAGATACATGGCCATTGTACAGCCGAAGCATGCCAAAGAACTTAAAAACACTTGCAAAGCCGTGCTGGCGTGTGTGGGAGTATGGATAATGACCTTGACCACGACCATCCCTCTGCTATTGCTCTATAAAGACCCGGATAAAGGCTCCAGCCCCGCCACCTGTCTCAAGATTTCTGACATTATCTATCTAAAAGCTGTGAACGTGCTGAACTTCACTCGACTGACATTTTTCTTCTTGATTCCCTTGTTTATCATGATTGGGTGCTACTTGGTCATTATTCATAGTCTCCTTCACGGAAGGACGTCTAAGCTGAAACCCAAAGTCAAGGAGAAGTCCATAAGGATCATCATCACGCTGCTGGTGCAGGTGCTCATCTGCTTTATGCCCTTCCACATCTGTTTTGCTTTCCTGATGCTGGGATCAGGGGAGAACAGTTATAATCCCTGGGGAGCCTTTACTACCTTCCTCATGAATCTCAGCACGTGTCTGGATGTGATTCTCTACTACATTGTTTCAAAACAATTTCAGGCTCGAGTCATTAGTGTCATGCTATACCGTAATTACCTTCGAAGCATGCGCAGAAAAAGTTTCCGATCTGGTAGTTTACGGTCACTAAGCAATATAAACAGTGAAATGCTATGAATAATAGAAAGGTTTTTTTACTTCAATCCCATTAAAATTCACTTTACGAACTAGTCTGGGGTCAATGAGTATTCTGTATAATACTATCAAGTCCCTTTTCTCTTGAAAAAAATAAATTCATTATCTTCATTTAAAAAACTTAGAGAAAACATTTTTGTGAATTATTGGGAGAAAAGTATCCAATTTGTCTTTCATAACCAAGCCGTATTTACACAGATAATCAAGTTAAATTTTTGCATTTAATTCTATGTGCAAGTGACACGTGTATGTTAATCAAGTCAGCAGGAGGGGAAATCCAGCTACCATATAAAATAATTTGATTAAATTATTTTCTACCTAGATGCAGCTCCTTGCAAATTAGGTCTAATTTGCACTAGGATTAATTGTAAGTCCAACATTTTATGTCCCAAACCTCAACTTCCAGAATTCCTATACAGGAAATTATGTTGAACTCATTACTGTTACTTACTATAAGGCAAAATTAATAGGAACAACAACTCAAGGGGGCCTGTAAAGGCTATCCCCATCAGCCCTCCCCAACTCTGACTTCATTCTTTTGAAAACAGAGGACAGTCATTCAACAAATACTGAGGGCCTACTACGCACCAGACCCTACTTAAGACTAATGATGAAAACCTAATCTGAAATGCTGTTTCTATCCAATAATCCAAGTTCATTTCTATCATGTGAGATAACTATAATATGGTGAAATACCACTCTCCAATACAAATAGTTAGGTCTTCTTGTGTGGTTAAAAATCCCATTTTTACAAGGGGTTAACTGATTTTTTTTCTAGGCCATATGTCACATTATAAATAGTACTAATAGGAACCTTGAATTCTTAGTCTTGCCATTTAATTTATCCTAATAAAGTAACAAACCAAGTAACTTACCATCTAAAAGAAAGGAACTGAACAATAATCTACAGAGCCCGTATTATCCTCAATACTATGGAAGTAAAATAAATGATTCAACTATAACTTCCTCTCCATCAAATTACCTTTATCACTCTTAACATAATCATGTCCCACTGGGGCTTGGAACCAAATATACGCATTGGTTAGAAATTGATTTCTGGCTGGCTGTGGCGGCTCATGTATGTAATCCCAGCACTTTGGGAGGTTGAAGTGGACAGATCACTTGATGTCCGGAGGTCAACATCAGCCTGGTCAACATGGTGAAACCCAGTGTCTACTAAAAATACAAAAATTAGCCGGGCGTGGTGGTGCACGCCTATAATGCCAGCTACTCAGGAGGCTGAGGCAGGAGAATTGCTTGAACCTGGGAGGCAGAGGTTGCAGTGAGCCAAGACAGTGCCACTGCACTCCAACCTGGGTGACAGGGGGGCAGGAGGGTGGGGGGAAGGGGAGGGAGGAGGGGAGGGGAGGGAAAAAGAGAGAAAGAGAGAGAGAGAGAGAGAGAAAGAGAGAGAGAAAGAAAAAAAGAAAGAAAGAGAAAGAAGAAAAGAAAAAGAAAGAAAGAAAGAAAGAGAGAGAGAGAGAAAGAAAGAAAGAAAAAGAAAGAAAGAAAGACTGATTTTTGGAAATAACAGGTAAATTCATATTCTTTAGAAACAAAAAAAAAAGATTAAAAAATGAAAAAAAGTCTAATCATAAAATAGCATTTTTGCACTAGAAGGTCCCTTGGACAATCTTCTGGTATAATTCTTCTGTTTGAAATATAAAAAACTGAAGTCCAAAGAGGTTATGTGACTTGCTTAGCTGAAGAACCATACCTAGAAACCAAGGTCAGTTCTTTCATATCAAACACTGATTTTTCAATAATAAAAAGCAAACATGTTTAGATAATGTAAACGCTCTTAGAGCTACATGAGGTGGTACTGAGATGAAGTTTCTCAATAAAGAGAAAAACACAAAGATTTTAGTTTTAATAATCAAATGAGTAATATATATCTTTATATATTTTATATACATTAAGTATCTTTATAGATATATATCTTTATATATTATTTATATATCTTGCATATATTTAACACACAATTATTTCTAAAACAAGAAAAACAACACCTGTATTTGATATGTAGGTTTATTTTACACATATACATAGTAAGGGTCAACTCTCAGCCATAGAGATGAATCTACGCTTAAATTTATTAGATAGAAAAGTTCTCTGCCATAGCTTGTCTTGATAAGAAGAGTTTAGTCATCAGCCTTGGGAAAGAATTTGTGACTAAGTCTTCAAAAGGAATTGCAATGAAAACAAAAAATGGCCATACTGCCCAAGGCAATCTACAGACTCAAGGGTATTCCTAGCAAAATACAATGTCATTTTTCACAGAATTAGAAAAAAAACTCTTCTAAAATTCACATAGAACCAAAAAAAGAGCCCAAATAGCCAAGGCAATCCGAAGCAGGGGGAAAACTAGAAAAAACTATTCTAAAAATCATATGGAACCAAAAAGGAACCCAAACAGCCAAAGCAACCATAAAAAAAAAAAAAAAGGCCAGAGGCATCACATTATCTGAGTTCAAAGTATAAGGCTTATACTTCAAATATAGTTTAAACTATAACCAGAACAGCATGGTTACTGGTACAAAAACAGACATACAGACCAGTGGAACAGAATAGAGAACCCAGAAATAAAGTCTCACACCTACACCCATCTGATTTTCAACAAAGTTCACAAAATAAACAGTGGTGAAAGGATTCCCTATTCAATAAATGGTGGTGGAATAGCTGGCTAGTCATAGTAGAAGAATGAAACTGTACCCTTACCTTGCACCACATACAAACATTAACTCAAGATGGATTAAAGGTTTAAGTGCAAGACCTCAGGCTCTAAGAATCCTAGAAGAAAACCTAGGAAACACTATTCTGGACATCAGCCTTGGGAAAGAATTTGTAACTAAGTCTTCAAAAGCAATTGCAATGAAAACAAAAATTGACAAGTAGGGCCCCATTTTAACCAAAGAGCTTCTGAACAGCAAAAGAAACTATCAACAAAGTAAACAAAACCTATAAAATGGGAGAAACTATTCACAAACTATGCATCTGACAAAGGTCTAATATCCAGAATCTAAAAGGAACTTGATTCAACAAGCACAAAACAAATAACCCCATTAAAAAGTGGGCAAAAGATAGGAACAGACAGTTCTCAGAAGACAACACACAAGCAGTCAACACACGTGAAAAAATGCTCATCAGTAATCATCAGAGAAATGCAAATCAAAACCACAATGAGATATCATCTCACACCAGTCAAAACGGCTATTAGAAAGCCAAAAAACAACAGATGCTGGTGAGATCTGGGAAGAAAAGGGAAACTTATACACTGTTGCATGTAAGGGAGAAAAGGGAATACTAATATACTGTTGGTGGGAAGGTAAATAAGTTCAGCCACTAGGTAAAGCAGTTTGGAGATTTCTCAAAGAACTTAGAACTACCATTCAACTCAGCAATCCCAGTACTGGGTACACAGCCAAAAGAAAATAAATCATCCTACCAAAAAGACATATGTACTCACATGTTCATCACAGAGCTACTCACAATAACAAAGATATGGAATCAACCTAGGAGACCATCAACAACAGACTGGATAAAGAAAATATGGTATATATACACCATGGAATATTATGCAGCCATAAAAAAGAACAAAATCATGTCCTTTGCAGCAACATGTATGCAGCTGGAGGCCATTATCCTAAATAAATTAATGCAGAAACAGAAAACCAAATATCACATGATCTCACTTAAAAGTGAGAGCTAAACACTGGGTACACATGGACATAAAGATGGGAGCAATAGACACTGGGGACTATTAGAGAGGGAAAGGAGGAAGGGAAGCAAGGGTTGAAAAACTAACTACTGGGTACTATGCTCACTACCTGGGTGACCAGATCATCTGTACCCCAAGCCTCAGCATCATGCAATATACTCATATAACAAACCTGCACGTGTTCCCCCTTAATCTGAAAGCTCAAATTTCAAAATACAAAAACAGAGTCAGTGACCTACTGCACTGACAAGCAAAGACAAAGATTTCTAGCTTGCATGATTCCAAGTAGATGCTAACTAAAATAAGAAAAAAGAGGGAAAGAGGATAGAGAGGAAGCCAGAAGAGAAGAGAACTTCTGAACATGAGTTTTCTTTGAATCTATAAATCATTAGGAAATAAGACTCTAGACCAGGCATGGTGGCTCACGCCTATAATCCCAGCAGTTTGGGAGGCCAAGGCAGGAGGATTGCTGGAGGCCAGGAGTT